GAATTTGGAGCAGCAAAAACCTTGCACCCTGTGACACATTTTAGGATTCACGTGGCCTAACTGGAATTCTGCTTCCTGACAATGTGCCATTATCGTACCTCCTAGCTGCAGAGCTACATAATGATTGCAAACAAATTATCTAATTGTTTTCAAATTGAGCCTGTTTCTTCAGTCCTGTTAACGTTTTGCTTGGAGCTGATGAGTTTATTGTCTGCAATCATTAATTAAATTACAGATTAAAATTACTTAACTTCTTTAAACATGGGAAACTTAAGCGATTGCATAATATTGAGATTATTCTCTAATTTATTTTCTTTCCTATCCCCATAAAAGCTGTCAATTACAATTTTTGCTATTGCCATTTTCACCTTAGTTTTAACAAAAAGATAAAAATCAGTTTTTCAAAGTGGGACCAGGTATCCAGGTTAGGGACATTCTGCATTCCGGCTTGGCTGATAGTGCTTGTGCTTTAGTTCATCATTCTTAACTTCCCAAACATGAACAATTCTGCAGTTCAACATGAAGTACATTAAAAAAAAAAATTAAAAATAATCTTTCTTTGGTTCCTGACCTCTCACATGTGTTTTCCAAGTAACATATTGGTTTGCTGATCATGTATCTACCTTTACACTTTTTTTTTTCCCTACACTTTTCCCCATTGGCTTAATTAATATTAAGCAGCCTAACCTCTCCTGAAGAGGTCTCCTGAAGTGGCATTTTAAATCTCATCCCTCACTCGACACGAAATGAAATAGCTGCAGCGGTGAAAAATGATTAATCTGAGTTATCTGTGACAAGGGACTTCTCTTTGCCCTCTGTTCAGATGCCAGCTCAAGGTATTGAGCCATCAGCTTCAGAAACCTCTGCCTCCTGCAGACAAGCAATACTGAACTCTTTTCTGTGATTTCCTTTTGAATGCTCCATTTATCCTTTTCACAGCACCTTTATTACTTAAGCAATTACTATCATATTCCCGTAAAACCCCATAGTTGTTGCTGACAGGCTCTAGGAAGCCTCATGATCTACCGAAACAGATAGGGCTGGGATGGTCTTCTGGAGAAAGAGAAGCTGAACAAAATTTGATGATGCAAGAGGATTTTAATATGAACGAGAAATGGGATAGACTGCAGAATGAGACAGCGCACAACACAAAGCAGACAGATCCTCGGGCCCAGGGAAGGGCACAGCATTCACCACCTACGAAGAGTCCGTCATTCACCAGTTGTTCTTCTCCTGTCACAGTTTTATTGACAATCTCCGTGCCGAGCCTTTCAAGCGATTTTCTTTTCCTTACATTGCCACGATGGTATCATAGGGATGTAGCACGACGAAGCGATTAACAGAACAGACAAAGGGAAAAATGCGAAGAAGAGGTGTGGGGCCAAGTTTTCAGAGGTACGGAGCGAGGGTGACTTCTGTTGACTTGACAGGCTCTCGCCACCTCTGAAAGTCAGCCCCAGCTGCATATCGGGATCTTGAGTTTTCGTCTCCGAAGCTGTTGCGTGGTCTGCAGGTGTTCAGGTTGCCTTAAAATGAGCCACAGCTTCCAGGGCGGGAGCCACGGCTGCTGCTGTAGAATCTCCTGAGGCAACAGCCCCCCAGCCCTGAGGAACCCCCAGATCCATAGGAACCCCCCATCCTTGAGGAGCCCCCAGAACCAGAGGAGCCCCCAGATCCATAGGAACTCCCTATCCCCAAGGAGAGTCCGGAACCAATGGCCCTCCCAGATCCAAAGGAGCTCCCTATTCCTGGGGAGGTCCCAGAGCTGCTCCCAGCACCGTACATCTGGGGAAACGATGTTCCCACGATGCTCTCCTGAGGGCAGCTGCTGAGAATCGGGCCCGGGAAGTTGACGATGACCGGTGGGGCGTACACGATGGCTCTGGAGTCCCCACACGAGGTGACGCAGGGCTCAAGGCCTCTGCTGTAGGCACACGGCTGCGTGCACGTCACCCCACAGGGGGGCAAGCACCGGGAGCTGATGTTGTAGGACATTTTTCTCAGGGTTTGAGGTCAAGCTGGAGAAGACAACACGAAGTCAGGACACCATCACCATTGTACGCATGACAGCAATGGGGCTAAGTAAGCAGGTTAGATCCTTTCTCATGCTTCCTATTCCTCCCTCAAGTCCTCCCATCCTGCTATCCCCTTTCTTCCTCCCTTCTTGCCCCTATGGAGGATGTCTGGGCCTTTCTTCATTCAGTAGGACTTTGTATTTGCACCTCAGGTTTGGAAAGATGCAAGAAAAATTAAAGCAACCCTTAAAACTCTGTCTTCAAATGCAAAACTGAGTCTCACCACTCTACAGGTCATTGCAGTGAGTCCCCTATGAAAAGTAATATTTCACCGCAAGGCTGCTAAAATCACAAAATACAGACACAGGAAAGACATTTTAAACTATCACTATAGAGACAAGACAGATATAAAATCAGTAGCTTAGATCAAACTCACCTAGAGCACCAAGATAGGTAAATTGGGAGCTTTTAGGAGACTCCTGAGATGCTCCTGCTTTTATACCCTTTTGCAGGCAGCTCCAGGGATGTGAAGCATCCCATAAAATCTCTAGTACTTACCAAAGTATGGTGGGTTTTTTTCTGGGTGACTCCTCTAACACCTGTAATTATTTTCATGATTTCTAACAGTAAATCATTCACAGACCTACACAATATGACTCTCATCTAATAAATTTGGGCTTTCTATTGTGTTGAAAGTACACAGCCATTCCTGTGCAATGTCGTTCTGTTGACCACACTTGATTTACAATGGAAACTAATTGACCACTCCTAATTATTTTTTGCTAATGATTTACCAAGAAGGAGCTCCCAGAAAGATCAACCTTGCAAGTTTGCTTTCAAGAATGGCCTGACGCCGACGCAAAGCAATGTGGGGTAATTTTGAAGTTCAACTTTGTTTCTAAGTTTGAGATCCACTTTGGAGCAAAAAAAAAGACCTGGTCATCTTTGGGTACGCCCTTACAGTGGCCATCACATCATCACAGGGCTCTAAGTGTGATATCCTGAGGGGAATTTTGACACATACTTGGGTAAAATTACTCAGAGGGCTCAAAGCTTAAAGGACATATCATGGGCCATTTCAACCCCATTTATTTTGTTTTGAAAGACTTCTTACAGGGCCTTGTCCTGGCCAGCACCCAAGAAAAATTTGTGAGGCCTGATTCTGTCATGGTGCTGCATCATCCATTTGGTCAATAGATACAGGCGGGGTTGCAAAGAACGCTGACCCCTCACCCAAAGTGGGGCTGGACGATTCCATTGGGAGGGGGATTACACCTAGATCTAAGGCTTACAAATCAACTGTGGGACTGACAGATCAGTAAGCCACCTTCCTTCAAGCCATTTAAGAGAAGTAAATGGAGAGTTTACCTCCTATTTCAGTTGGAACCAGAAGGACGCCAAAAGGATTTTTTTTTTTTTCCTTTAAGGTTTGAGACAAAAGGAAATTATTGGGTGTTGGATGCATGTCACTCAAAGCAGGGCTGGAAATGGATCACTAGGTATGAATTGAAAACAATGGCAAGGCTTAGAAGTGTAGCTTTTTCTTGATAAGTGACAAGAATTTAGTGAATAATGGATGACTTCATATCCTTCCTATTGTTTAAGAACGTGTATAAAAGGGTAGAGAACTAAGAAATCTTCTACTCTTCGAGCTCCACTGACTTATTCCTCCAAGACTACAGGGTAAGTCTAACTTCATTGCACTTCTTTGTAGCTATAGAACACTTAAAACTTACTCTTTTCTATCTTGCAAAAGTCTAGCACTTTTAGAAAAGCTGAGGTAAAGAGAAGAGTAGATTCAGCAAGAATTCCTAGAAAAGCTGGGAGAAAGGGAAGAACAAGCATGGGAGATTCTGTTACTGTCTTCCAGAGACTTTCTGAAGTTACAGGCAAATCTTCCCACGGGTCTGCTTTGAAAGGAGAATGAATGAGACTTTTCTGAACAGGTAATTGAATAAGAATCAGATAATTTAGCCCCAGAGAAAAGAGCAGGATTTTTTGAAGAGATTCAGAAGAATAAGAGATGTGGATGGTACACAAAGGAAGGAGAACTGAGAAGCCTTAAAAGGGGTCAGGTAGGGAATGGCAAGGAAAATGAAAACTGTGAGGGAGGGTTGAATTAGGAGTTGATGAGTAGCTGGAGGAGAACAAGGTGCTCCTGGTTCATACTGGGAACCTGCTGGCACCTGACTGTGATGGTTTCCTGACTCCATGTTGTTTTTCTCAGCTTCACCTCCACTTCCCAAGAACTATGTTGAACAACGTTAGCTCTGAGTGCTTGCCCTCCTGTGAGGTGACATGCACGCAGCCGTGTGCCTACAGCAGAAACCTTGAGCCCTGCGTCACCTCGTGTGGGGACTCCAGAGCCATCGTGTATGCCCCACCAGTCGTCCTCACCTTCCCAGGCCCAACTCTCAGCAGCTGCCCTCAGGAGAGCATTGTGGGAACATCATTTCCCCAGATGTATGATGCTTTGACCCCATACAGCTCTGATGAGTCCTATGGGATGGGGGGCTCCTTTGGTTCTGTGGGCATGGCAGGGCCGGGAGGCTCCTTTGGGTATGGAGGCTCCCCTGCATATGGAGGCTTCTCAGGAATTGGGGGCTCCTATGGATCTGGGGGGTCCTTTGGGTATGGAGGTATGGTGGGGATAGGGAGTTCCTTTAGATCTGGGAGCTCCTTTGGGTATGGAGGCTCCTCAGGGCTGGGGAGCTGTTATACCAGGAGGTTCTACAGCAGCAGCCGTGGCTCTCGCCTTGGAAACCGAAGCTCATTTTAAGGCAGCCTGAACACCTGCACATCTTCAGAGACGAAAACGCAAGATCCTGATCCGCAGCTGGGGCTGGCTTCCAGAGATGGCGAAAGCCCATTGCATCAACGGGAGCCGCCCTTGCTCTGAACCTCTGAATACTGGGCCCACACCTCTTCCTCGCGTGTTACGCCTCATCTTCTATCAATAGCAGTTTCAAATGCTGGCTTCTGTCCTTAAATTCTTAACAGTCTTGTGTTATGCCCTTTCTGGTGAGAGGAAACGCTTCAGAATTTGCAAGTGGGACTTTGCTGCAAAAATTTCAGCTTTGCCTCAAAATGTGCTGTCATCAACACAGATGGTCTGGCTGCCTTTGGAGGGTGGAACAGACCATTCGTGGATGGCATTGTATTCTTTATGCTTTCTTCGTGTCACATTAAAAGACTTGTTGAATGGTATCAATAGTTTTCTGGTTTCTCTGTTCTTCCATTCTGCTTTACAAACTGGTTTTTGAAAATTTAACTCAGCGGAAGTTAAAACAGGAGGTGGAGCTCCATGTAGGCAAAGGGAAGAAGAATTCAATTCCCTGACGAGTGGCAGTATGAGAGCATGGATCTAGCTGTGCTTTCTGCATAGAGAAGTATTCCTACACATTTTAGTGGCTGAGCCTGTTATTCCTGCGTATTCATTTCAATTTGAGAGCCTTTAGGATAACGCGGTTTGCAGAGGATGAGCAGTACTTGTACCTTCCCTCAGCTTCGTGCAGTCACATTCCCACACTGCTAAAAAGATCAGAGTCAGCGATTTTGGGGCTGAGCCAGGACTGTCTATTATAAACTGCCACGCACGTGACTTGAGTGAAGGTGATGCCTCATAAATTTACAAAGGCGAGTTACGTCCCCACGCGGCTCTTACTCAATAGGCTGAGGAATGAGTAACGAGAGTGAAAATTGCCGGGACATTACTGCCGCAATCTTATCTGCAGTGCACTAGAGCAAAGTCAGGTGTTCCTGAGCTGAGACTAAAACTGGAGTCACCACAGCTGAGTAAAGCTGGGACCCCACTGTGAACACACACGTCTCTGCACATGTCTTCAGGCAGCTGAGAACGGCAGTTCTGCACTAGGAGAAAGGATTTATGCCTAAATAAAAGCAATCCTGCTTTTTTATCAATCAAACCATATATATTATTAAAGTCTGTGGATTACGATCCAACTAGCAGAACATTTTTGCTTGATAAAGTAATGCCATTACTTCTGGGTGATATAATTCAAACAATATCCTCTGAACGTTGTGGCGCAGCACGCTGCATGCATAAGCCCACGATATGAGTAGGGCTGTTTCAATATTTCTCCCAAGATTTTCTAACTGATTTTCCCATTTCCTCAAGGTTTGCAGATATGTTGTCTGTGTAAACATGGGGAAAAAATTGAAAAACAGATGCCACGTCGTGACGGACGAATCTCTTTCTCTGGCAGTCCTGGCAATGACTGTGCACGAGGTATTTTGTGATCTGAAAGAGCACAAGAGCACCTATGTAGCTGTTGCCTGAGGGATCCCATGGTGACGCTTAACAAGCTCGGATCATTTACTGCATAAATGCTTCAATTAATTTAACAAACCACAAGGATTAAGGCAATCAAAGGAAGGAAATTATTGTTATGCTTGGCACAGCAGTGCTTGCTCAGCCCACGCAGGAGCCCTCTCTTGTCGTGAAAAGCAGCACAATGGAAACGGCTCCTAAAGAAAAATATTGATACAGCTACTGGGGTGAATTTCTCAGTTTGCATCAAGGCACATGGCAGGGTGCAAGACTTGTTGTCTGATTCTCAGTTGCTTACAAATACTTTCTCCCTGTTCCTTTTGGCCCTGCCTCCTCGCACCTCTCAGATTTAGCTTAACTCATTTGCCCCTTTGCAGTCTGGAACCAGATAAACTATTTTACTGTCAAGACTAGATAAATCAGAGCACAACTTTCGCCTCCTGACGGAGTCAGGACCTGCGTAGTTATTTCAGCCCCTGCTGAGGGATAAAACAATTTCCTCAGAGGTGTCCAAGGAATGGCTGGTAGCAGAAAGGGTGAAAAATACTTTACCGAAGAATTCCTGGCAAATCATGTTGGCCAGAATTCTTCTTCATTGACAGTCCTCGATTCATGCAGAAGAATCGATGCACAACCTTCTTTCAGACTGGTTTGTAGCACACAGAAAGAAAGCCAGAAGACGGTGCTGTGATGCAACAGGGCTTTAATACAACCAAAAAGTGGATTACATTCTTGCAGCATGAGGCAACGCAGAGACAATTTCCATTTCAACGAGGACTACAACCGATCGACCTTTCAGAGGAGCACCGGTCTCACAAGACATTCTTCTTTCAGCTGGACACTTTCACAGTCAAGTCCCATTAGCTGTTCTACTCTCTTCAGGTTCAGAAAGAACAAAAGATAACACGGAGCAAATGACAAAGTGAGGCAACGCTGGGATCCTAAGCCTTAGACAAAGCGCAACGAGATCCCAAGCAACCCCAGCTCCTACCGGCACTGGCTGGAGCAGGGACTGCTTGGCATGTCTGATTTCTGGGTCTATATCTCAACTACGAATCTGTATCTTTTTGTTCCTTCGGTCACTACTCTTTCTTAGGGATTTAAAATGGCCCATAGTTTCCATAGCGAGACCTATAGTACCCTCTGGAGAAAAAGGGGAAATAATTTCTACCAAACCCTGAAAAATATGAGTTTCGGTAAACGCTTCCCAAACGGTACATTCCACCGCCGCATGAGCTCTCCCCACCGCATGAGCCCCCTCCCATGCCACCGTAAGAACCACCTGAACCGTGGGAACCCATCCCGTAGGAGCCACCTCCACCACAGGAACCACCAGAACCCATTCCCCCACCTCCATAGCCCATTCCTCCACCTCCAGAGCCCATTCCTCCACCTCCGGAGCCCATTCCTCCACCTCCGGAGCCCATTCCTCCACCTCCGGAGCCCATTCCTCCACCTCCGGAGCCCTCAATTTCAGGCATAGCGGTTCCCACAAAACTTTGCTGAGGGCACGAGCTGATAATGGGTCCTGGGAAAGTCACGACAACGGGTGGAGCGTACACGATCGCTCTTGAATCTCCGCACGAGGCGATGCAGGGTTCATTCTGGCAGTTGACATATGGTTGAGGGCACGTCACTTCACATGGCTCAGCACAGCGGGAGCTAATCAACTGGCCATAGGAAGACATCTTTCCAGAAGACAAGTCAACCTGAAAAGCAGAGAGTACACTACAGCCTGGCAAAGTTACAGCCAGAGGAACCCAAGAACTGCATTACAGTAACATGGGATGTGTAGATGTTGGCTGCTCTCCATTTGAACAGACGTAGACACATCTGCCCGAGTCATCTGCACTAAACTGAAGCATGAGTCATTTAAAAAAGTAAAATGATAAGAAATAATCACAGTTTCTAAGGCACGATCCATCTTCTGGAAAGGAAACTTGTGCGTTATGGATCTCGCCACCCAAATGAGAGGAGCTGCTGGGTAGAGGTTTCTAAGTGTATTCCTACTCCTCTCCAGTGCTCCATTGCCCTGTAGCCTCTTCCCAAAATGAGTTCTGGGAAGAATGTCTCTCTGTCCTTTCCTTGCATCATTGCCTTTGCTGTATTTTTTGTCCGGGGGCCAATCCTATCCCGATACTGGTTTTGGAGCATCCTTTCTCCATAGCTAGATGCTCAATTCCTAGGGACTGCTAACACTCACATTTTTGAAACTCCCATTCATCTGTTCCCCTACACGTGCCGATATCGATACCAACCCTATTTGCAAGTCACAGTTTCCAAGAAAAATGTTTTTAGAGGCTAAAGCCCTACCCTATTTTAGCGTAGGATATATAATGTCATATTAACGCTACCTGTAAACCCACGTCTATAATTATGAGCTGATTCAGTTAAATCAGACTTACCCAGTCACCAAGAAGAATAAGTCAGCAGAGGCAGCTACAGAGACCTGAGTTACGAGCACTTTTATAGGCTGTCATAAAGAATAGAAATTGGGAGATACCTTTACGCAATCATCCTCTACATCTTGTGAAACAGAATGTTTTCCCCTGGTGATGCCCGCCTTTGTTTTGATAACAGCTTATGATTATTAGATAACTTCCAATCCCACACAGTGGTGATGCGTGCACTTCACCCATCTTGCCTTTCCGCTGAAAATCTCACGATAAATTGAGATTCTCTTCAATACTTGGCGATACTTGTGAAGAGGTGGATAAACCACACGCTGCTAGTAAGCACAGGATCCCAGTTTATTTTTTGTCAGGTAATAATAACCACTCAGCCTTCGGAATTGTTCCTCTTCAAAGGCAGGAAATCTTTTTACATTAAATAACTGTTAGTGTCCATGGCCATTGGGTACTCAGACCAGCGGTTTTGAGACTGGAATTTGTGGCTTAGGACTGTCCTTTGGATTGATGTTCTCCCACATGCCTATACCACGTCCCAAGTAAGAGAGAAAAAGAGATACCAAAGCAGTTCATGGACTCTCCTGTGAACACTAGGATCAGGCACAATCCCATCAGAAATTCAGTTAAGGAAAAGCACGTGCCCAAGATTTTACAATTTATCATCAGTTCCTCATCTCAAGGAATCATTCACTTCCACAGTGCTTGCAGAATAAAGAGCAAAAACTACTAATAACTGTGACGAAACTGAATTTTACTTTCTGACTATGCTTGTCAGAGGCCAATACGAGGAGATGAACAATATTTATTATCTGTGGGACCAGACAAGGCATTGTCTGAAGTATAGGTCCACACTCTCAGCTAGAATAAATTCTGACAAATGTGGATTCTGTGATTCAGATCTACATGAAAAAAGATTCTTGTGGCAAATTCTTAAAAATAAAGCTAAAGAAACCCCCAAACAGCTGATTCTATTTACATTTTGTGACCATGAAATCAATATAATGGCCAGAGGAATGCGTGCAACCAATAGAGCAGTGACAGCAAGCTGCACCGAACATGACGCACATCATTTCTGGGAAT